AAAGATATGGTGAAGAGTTGAAAGACGATAGGGTCGTGGCAAAAAATACTACGATCCTTAATTTCAAAATTTGATTTTATGTTGTTGCCATTGAAGAGTCCAAAGACTTGGACACCATGACCATAGACGAGCTTTCGAGTTCCTTGCAAGCACATGAAGAGAAGTTGAAGAAACCGAAAGAAGAATCGGTTGAACAAGCGTTGCAAGCAAAATTTTCTTTCAAAGAGAAAGATGAAAGGCGTGGCTCGCAACAAAGAGGCCGTGGAAATGGAAGAGGTCGTGGTAGAGGCGGAAGAGGAGGTAGTCAACCACCTTCAAGTAGAGAAAATAAAGGCCAAGACTTTAATTCAAGAAGAGGTCGTGGAAGAGGGAAATGATGGAGGCAAAATCAAGGAAGGTATGACAAATCAAATATTGAATGTTATACTTGTCATAAATTTGGTCATTTTTCTTGGGAATGTAAAGATAACTTTGAAGAGAAAAATAATTTCGTGGAGAGCAAAAATGAAGATGAAGATGCCACCTTGCTTCTCGCATGCAAAGGAGAAGAAAGTGCCGAGAAGCACCGATGGTACCTTGATTCCGGTGCAAGTAGCCATATTTGTGGAAAGAAGGATTTATTTGTGGAACTTGAAGAGTTGAATCGTGGCACAATCACTTTTGGAGATTCTTCACGTGTTAAGATCAAAGGAAAAGGTACGATTTTAATTCGCTTGAAGGATGGAAGTCATCAATTAATTTCTAATGTTTTATATGTGCCGGAGATGAAAAGTAACATTTTGAGTTTGGGACAACTTTTGGAGGAAAATTATGACATTCATTTGGAAGATAAAAAGTTATTTATGAGAGATGAAAAAGGGAGATTATTAGCTAAAGTTCCTATGGCTAATAATAAAATGTTCATTTTAAATCTTCAAAATGATGCTCCAAGATGCTTACTTTCGTGTGCCAAAGACTCCTCTTGGCTTTGGCATATGAGATTTGGTCACTTGAATTTTGATAGCTTAAGGTTGATGGATAAAGAAAACATAGGTGAATGGATTGCCAAGTATTAATCATCCCAACCAATTTTGCGAAGGATGTATCTTTGGAAAGCAAGCTAGAAAAAACTTTCCTAAAGAGTCTTTGACAAGAGCAAGATGCCCTTTGGAGTTAATTCACATGGATGTTTGCGGACCTATCAAGCCATCTTCACTTGGTAAAAGTAATTATTTTTTACTTTTCATTGATGATTATTCTACAAAAACTTGGGTTTATTTTTTAAAGGCAAAATCAGAGGTGTTTGAAACCTTTAAAAAGTTCAAGAGGATGGTGGAGAAACAAAGTGGCTATCAAATTAAGTCACTTCGGTCGGACAATGGTGGAGAATTCACTTCAAATGAATTCAAAGTTTTTTGTGAGAAAAATGGAGTTCGCCATTTTTTAACCGTGCCAAGATCACCACAACAAAATGGCGTTGTGGAAAGAAAGAACCGGACCATTCTTAACATGGTGAGGAGTATGTTGAAGAGCAAAAATATGCCAAAGGAATTTTGGGCTGAAGCTGTTGCTTGTGCGGTATACTTATTAAATCGTTGCCACACAAAACGTGTTCATGGAAAAACACCTCAAGAGGCATGGAGTGGTTTCAAGCCAAAAGTTTCTCACTTGCGAGTTTTCGGAAGCATTGCATATGCACATATACATGATGAAAAGAGGACCAAGCTCGATGACAAAAGTGAGAGGTATGTTTTTATTGGTTATGATCAAAATTCTAAAGGTTATAAATTGTATAATCCCAAAAATGGCAAGGTCACTTTGAGTAGAGATGTTGAGTTTGATGAAGATAGTGCTTGGGATTGGAAGACTAAAGAGCAAGATTACTCTTTTAGTCCATTATTTGATGATGATGAAGAAGATGTGGAGCAACCTATCTCACCACTATCAACACCTCAGCCACAAAATCAAGAAGTGGAGGAATCAAGTTCAAGTTCAAGTGAAGCACCTCATAAGAGTAGAAGTCTCCGTGACTTGTATGAAAACACGGAAGTGGTAAGAAATGATTTATATGATTTTACTCATTTTTGTTTATTGGTGGATAGTGAGCCTATAAGCTTTGAGGATGCATTCCAAAATTCCAAATGGAGAGATGCCATGGATGAAGAAATCAAGGCAATAAAAAAGAATGAAACATGGGAGTTGGTCACACTTCCAAAAGGAAAAAGCACCATTGGAGTCAAATGGGTGTACAAGCTAAAGAAGGATTCCAAGGGTGAAGTAGAAAAGTACAAAGCAAGATTAGTAGCTAAAGGATACAAGCAAAAAGCCGGTATTGACTATGAAGAGGTATTTGCACCGGTTGCTCGTTTGGAAACAATTCGCTTTGTCATTGCCTTGGCCGCCCAAAATCAATGGAAAATCCATCAAATGGATGTGAAGTCAGCTTTTTTGAATGGCGTATTGGAGGAAGAAGTCTACATTGATCAACCTTTGGGCTATAAGGTTGAAGGACAAGAAAATAAAGTCTTGAAATTGAAAAAGGCTTTATATGGGTTGAAGCAAGCTCCGCGGGCTTGGAATAGTAGAATTGATAAATATTTTCAAGCAAATGGTTTTTCAAAATGTCCACATGAACATGCACTTTATGTAAAAATTGCTAAAAATGGTGACATTTTACTTGTTTGCTTGTATGTAGATGACTTGATTTTTACAGGAAATAATCCTAAGATGTTTGAAGAATTCAAGGAAGCGATGGCTAGAGAATTTGAGATGACGGACATTGGATTAATGTCCTACTATCTTGGCATTCAAGTGCATCAAAGGAAGGATGAGATTTTTATTTCTCAAGGAGAATATGCAAAGGAAATTCTCAAGAAGTTCGAGATGGATAATTGCAATCCCGTGAGCACCCCCGTTGAATGTGGAGTTAAAATATCCAAGCATGGAGATGGAGAAAATGTAAATCCCACATTTTTCAAGAGTCTTGTTGGAAGCTTAAGGTACTTGACATGCACAAGGCCGGATATTCTTTATGGTGTTGGACTTGTGAGCCGCTTTATGGAAGCTCCTACTACCTCCCATTTAAAGGTAGCAAAAAGAATACTTCGGTACATCAAAGATACACTTGATTATGAAATTCTTTATTCATCTTCTAAGGATTCTAAGTTTGTGGGATTTTGTGATAGTGATTGGGCTGGTGATATTGATGATCGTAAAAGTACTACTGGGTTTGTTTTCTTTCTTGGAAATTCTGCATTTACATGGAATTCTAAAAAACAACCAATTGTTACTTTGTCAACTTGTGAGGCGGAGTATGTTGCAGCTTGCTCATGTGTTTGTCATGCAAT